AAAGGCGCAAGTTTCGGGTCGTTTGGAGGTCAATTGGCGGGTCACAGAGTGAATTACGGGCAGCCCCTGCTAAATTACGGCCGTAATTAGCCAGGGCATGCCCGTAATTAATTGGACGAGCTTTCCCCCCCAGCAATTCTTCTCGGCGTAGAAATTACGGGCAAGACCCCCAGGAATTACGGCCGTAATTCCCAGATTACTGGCGGTAATTGGGAAATTACGGCCGTAACTTCTCCTCTGCCAGCTTAAGTGAAACGCGCGTTTCGGTGTGAATTACGGGCAGGAAGGATTACGGCCGTAATCGTGCCCGTAATTCGCCCAGAGTCGGGTTTTTGAAGGCAGATTCGAGCCAAGGAGAGGGAATTCGATTTTCTGGGCAAAAACAGAGTTTTAGAGAGAGAAAGAGCGAAGAACAAACCCTAGGAGCTATCTTGGAGTGGATTTATCATCATTGAAGCCCGGATTGCGTCCCTAGGAGTGAAGATTGACATCCCAGAGCAGATTTTCCTCATCTTTATGAGTATGGCTACTCTGATTTCTGTTTTCCTTTCTCTCTCTATGGAGTAGAACCTCTCTCTCACTTGGGTATGAAGAACCCTAGTTCCTGATGTTAGGGTTTTGATTGTAATGACTTGGGAATGATATTATTGTTTGATTTTAATCGAATGTCGCATGTTTCATGAATTGATTTGAGTCTGATCAGCTTGTTTCAATTTCTGCTTCAACCTGAGATAGATAGAATCTGATTAGGTTGTTAGAGCTTCTTCATTCGATAGTAGGAGATTGGCTATACGAGAGTTAGCCAGTTTACTGCTTTGTACTGGTGTTCTTAACGCCAGTAGTGGAGTTCTGTGTTTATAGCCTCAGCTTTCTATCCCGGTGAAGACTAGTCGTCTGCCGGGTAGTTAGACTGAGAGGGCTTGGTCAGCTTAAGAGATTCCAAGCTACTGTCGGATCTTCCGCAGTCTAATCAACAGTAAATCAACCCAGGGAATTGCAATTGAACCTAACTAAGGGGCTAGGGGGATTCAATCCCGAGTGACTCTTAACTGCTTTTGAAAACCGAACCAATTCCTGCTTCTTACTGCTTTTGCTTTTAAACAACAACACTCGACTTAGTTTGCTAGATAATAGAGAATCACGGAGTAAGCAGTAGATCTAGACCTCGGGTTGATAGTATAACTTGCCTGTTACTGCATTCCCGGACTGCGATTGCACTTGGTCGCAGTTTGGTGTTGTGTTTTGGCGTGTCACCTAGTCTAGAGAGGGAAACCCCCCCTTCCAAGGGAGTCTCAATCGAGTTGGTATCCCTAGGGATTTTCAAGTCTTCTAACTAGGTTCATTTAGGGCAAGACTCAATATTGGATTAAGCAATTTGGTTAAGCGCGATTAAGCCGCCCAACCCTTGGGTTGAGTGAGGGAGTAAGTCAACCATTGATTGCCTAAATCGAGAGGGCCTAGTGACAACCTATAATGCATGCCTCGGTTTAGCAATTATGAGCATGGTCTACGACCATATTTGCGTCCCCTAGCGGTTAGCGATCACCTTGCCCATAACAATCATTTTGGTTCACATACCATGGTAGTAGTTAGGGGGAAGTAACACCCTAGTGAGTAGTGATACTTCCACAAAAGAGCTTTCAAAACCATTCGCCTTTGTCTTGTTTTACTTTAATTAGCAAACTTTTCAACCAAAACCTTATTGCTAAATAATGATTCAAATGACTGAAGTAGTAGACGGACCGGCCCGGGTTGATATTTAAACATACTTATCCTGTCCTACACCTGACTAAGGTTTATACTTGGACCTTAGGCCGGAAATTATTGTGGTATTCGGGATGAGTCACTTCTTCTTCTTCTTCTTTAGATTTCTGGAGTGAGAAAGTGACGAACCAAAGAAGAGAAGAAGCTAGGGTTTCATCTTCAAGCAAGGATTTGGGAATTCCTTCCCCAAAGGAGGATTTCTTCAACACAAGGAGCAAGGTTAGCATCTCCATGATTGTTTTCCTTCTTCTATCTTGTGTTTTCCCTTCTCCTAGCATGGAGCAGTCCCTTATTTCACTTGGGTGTTTGTAAACCCTAGCTACAATTATGTGAATGTTTGTATGGATTGAATGATTGGTCTGTGGATGTTTTTTAATGTAAATTTGGAGGTATTTTCAGGAAAGATTTGTTGTGTGTTTGCCTATCAATCTATTTGCCATTCTAACTTAGGTAGAGAGAAACCCCCTTTCTTTGAAAGAGGCTTATAAAGCTAGTTTTTCTTTGGCAAATCGTGTCTCCTATCTAGGTTAATGTAGAGCAACCCTCTTTGTTCGTATTAGCACCTAGGGTTGGTTGTACTTTGTCCATCTGAACCCCGATTCGAGGGTGAAGTCCTGGCAACCCTTACTCAATAGGTCAAGAGAGCTACTTCGGTGGCTTGAATCAAATTCCCTTGACCTAGAGACCGAGAGAGTGGTGTTTGCCTGCTTGTAGCACTTCCCTACGATTTACAACCATCTTACCACATACGTCCATTCGATCCGACAAGTCATAATTGTTAGCTAGGGGGAGCAACACCCGGGTGAAGCCTTCTCAATTAGTGTCAAATCCATCTACTTTTCCAAACGTTTTAGCTATAGATCGTTGTTTTCAACAAATAACCAATCACTATATAATGTTACAAACAATCTAAGTAGGGGTACATGAACCGGCACGGGTTGACATTTAAAAATATTTGCCCTGTATTGCACCCAATTGAGGTTTATACTTGGTCTTAATTGGGAGTTTTATTGTGATATTCAGGACGAGTCAGTATTCTCTTGTTTGGAAGAGGCCCTCTATACCCAGGAATCAGTTCTTTGTTTGGTTAGTGGCCTAGAATTACATTACTACATGTGACAAGATTACTAGCTAGGGAGGAGTAGGACCCTAGTCATGTGCCTTTTGTGCTTGTACTATGGAGACTTGAACCCATCTGTTTGCAGAATGCTCTGCGTTTAAAATCTTATTTGCAGGTTTGTTGGCTCTAGTTTTTCCAAGAATTTCATTTGATATATGGGAAGAGGAACTAAGTGGGCAATAGACAAGCTTAAGGGGAAGACAGTTCAGAAGCAAATTGCTTTGGTGCCATGGCATGCTACATTTAGCGCAATTTGGAGAGAGAGATGTACATTGCGGCATGGCGGAGTAAGGAAGAGTTTTCCAACCATGATTGAGCGGATAAAGAATGAAGTTAGCATATTATTTGGCGTTGATGTAACCGCTGAGTTTTGGCCTTGTTGATGGTTTACTCTTGGTACTAGGATTATACTTGTGATAGGTGATAGAGAACTATAGTTTTACTTGAAGTACAAAAGTACAAAAACTTACAGGTTACTTAATTGGTAGGGTGTGTTGCCAAAAGTTTCTTTCTTTTTTATGATATAAATTTAACTAATTCATTAAAAAAATGTAATTTCTAATTTGATTATATCTAAAAGAAGGAAAAATTTTATGAGTTTTCCACTTTTTTTTGAAGAGAAAGAAGGCAAAATTTGATGTTTTCAGTTCTTGTAAAGATAAAGAAGGGTAAAGTTTTCGTACTTTGAACTTTTAGAACAAAAAGAATGAGAGAATTTTGATACTTTCAATTTTTTAGAAGATGAAGAAGGGACAAATTTGGCGCTTTCATTTATGTGAAGAGACAAAAGAGGAAAGTTTTGGTGTTTTGGACATTTTGAAAAGAGAAAGGAGGGAATTTTGGTGCTTTCACTAACTTCTTCCCAATGAGAAACTAAAGGCAATTTTCACGAAGACTAGTCAAGGACAAGCTTGCCTATGCAACACCAGGTCCTCCTGCTTCATACATTCACCTTTAATTAAGATTTACTTTTCTATACCATTTTTTCTTTTTGATTTTGAAAAACTAAGGGGAACTTCAACCTGGAGGCACCTCAACCTACACATTCTTGTTAAAGTACAATAGAACTTGTCCCTCTGCACCTGAGTAATTGGTCGTGGGAGACCTTATAGAAATAAGATTCTGGTATTCGGATTAGATAAATTTGACCATACACTACAACGTGACCGACGATCAGTGTTAAGATTGCTTGACTCTACATCGATTATGAAGAAACATGTGGAAACTAGTTTAGATTGAGAGTTATTTTTAAATACTTTCCAAGCTCGAGTGGAAACTGCTAGTGAAGTTACAACACATAGCTTACCTGATGGGGTTGTTGAGGAGGACGAGGAGGAGGAAGATGACGAGGAGACTGAGATTGATGATATTAGTGATGATAACGATGATGATCCTGAAGTTTCTCTTCTTAGGACTTTGAAGAAGAAAGGTTATGCTAATGTTGGTGGTGGGACAACAAGTTCTATCGGAGAAGGAGGAGCATGAGATGCTAGTTTATGCGTTTATTTATGTTGTGTTATTTGGGGACTTCTAAGATCCATTTTTATTATTAAGTTTGAAGTTTGAACTTGTGTGAATTTAGATTTTAGACATTGTCATTAATCATTATGCGCTTTGGTTGATTGACAATTATGTTGATTATCGTCCCTTTCAATTTCAATATTTGATGATAGTTAATGAATTTCAGAATTTGAACTTGTTATAAATCAATTATGGTTTGACAAATGACAATTGTAATGCTATAAATTATAAAATTTCTAAATATTGTAAATAAGAGTTAAGAATTACATTATTGATTACATAAAATAAAAAAAACCCATGAAATTTTTAAAAAATTTGCCCAGCCTCTCATCTGCCCACAATGGGTCCAGTTATTTCCCGGTTAACCGAACTGGAATGTCGTTTCCCCGCCTTTGCTCGGTATTTTGGTATAATCGATTTGTAACCGGTATACCGTACCGGTTACCGACTGATTACCAGCCCTCAGTACTCCTTTGGAGAAAATCCGACATTACATAGCAAACTTGCGTTGCTTGGACTGAAACACCTACTGCTGAGAGCAAAACTTTGATTCGATCCATCATGGCCCATATGAAACTTCAGCCCACTTAAACTAGAGCTTAAACCGGATTCGTTAGGCCCGAATCCAATTGTGTTCCCTAATCCGAGCTTTGCCGGCAGGAAACTCCTGCCTATCTATTTATGCATACGGCAACGCGAAACGAGACGAGGGCTAGGGTTTATATTTTTGAAGCCGCTCGCTGCTAAGCCTCTCTCCTTCTCCAAGCTCAGAAGACCCTTGGCGCCGCAGCACAACTCCGTTCAGCAGCCATGGGGTACGTCTCTCTCATGCTTGAAATCCCTATCTGCTTCTCCATTTCCTTTTGCAACTCTCAAACCATTTCAGATATCGTTCTTCCGTAGAAAGAAGGCATCTTCATTCTTCTTTTTTTCCTCCTATTTGGACCCTGTGAACGATGATTGTGAGAGAAGCTAGCTAGCAAAAAAATTTAAATATTTTGGATAGATCTTTTTTTGCTAGAAGCGGATCTTTCTGATTGGTGTTTTGGCATGATTGATTTCGATCAACTTAGATTTCGCTAAGTTATAAATCCTCAGGGAGCCAAACGCCGTTTCCTATATTATTCATAGTTCGCACCTGAATTCAAGTTTAGTTTGAGATCTTTGTCGTTTGGTTGGAGTTGTTTACGGTATATCCGAGAATAATGGGGTTTAGAAAGTCGACGAACGTGATCTTACAGGATGTGAATTGATTTATGTTTATGGCCATATTTAGAGATAGGGCTTAACTTGGTATATGCTATGTCTAATGAAAATGGAGCTTGAAACCCTTCTTTCTTCTCAATGAGGTTCGAACTGCTATCTGAGATTCAGTGTATTCAATTTTGTGCAGGAAGACACGTGGAATGGGAGCTGCTCGCAAGTTGAAGACCCACCGCAGGAGGCAAAGGTGGGCTGACAAGGCTTACAAGAAGTCTAACTTGGGTAATGAGTGGAAGAAGCCTTTCGCTGGTTCTTCCCATGCCAAGGGCATTGTCCTGGAAAAGATGTATGATACCCTTGATGTTGCTATATTCGTGTTTTTTTGTGGCACTATCATGTTCCCACTTTATGTGACCGTTTGTCTCAACTTATGCAGTGGCATTGAAGCCAAACAGCCAAATTCTGCTATCCGTAAGTGTGCCAGAGTGCAGCTCATTAAGAATGGAAAGAAGATTGCTGCCTTTGTTCCTAATGATGGTTGCTTGAACTACATTGAGGAGAATGTAAGTGCAGTATTTCTACTACCTACCGATTTCCACCTACTACATTGATGGTAGACTACTAATGCTTGATATGGTGTGGCTGTTCAGGATGAAGTACTCATCGCTGGATTCGGGCGTAAGGGTCATGCCGTGGGAGATATTCCTGGAGTCCGTTTCAAGGTTGTGAAGGTCTCTGGTGTTTCCCTTTTGGCTCTCTTCAAGGAGAAGAAGGAGAAACCGAGGTCTTAAATTATATATGGAGAGATGTAGCTGTTTACTAAAGTTTTGGTTTTAGTGTTTCAGATACAACTCTGGGGTGGTGTGGTTTTTGTCCGAGTGAATCTTGCTAAGCCAAGTTTTGGTTATTGTATGGTGGAACCTTCAATTTTTGCAGTCCTGTATGTTGCAGTCTTAACATTCTTTGCTCGAGGTCTGTCGGTAGATTTTAATTTTATACATTTTTTGCTTGCTTGTTCTCTTGATTCGAGACAAGGCTCATAACAGGCAGGAGCCCCTGCGGAAATCGGGTACAGGATGACAACTTCGTAGCATAGTTGTTATTCCTAATGCATGAGTTGGGCTAGAAGTGAACCCAAGAAGGTTTGGAACCAAAAAGAGATCCCTCGAGATTTAGTTTCGAGTTATTAACTTATTATGCTTAAAACTGGGAATGAACAATACTGAAAAATAAAAAGGGATGAGTTTGTCAGAGTTAAATGCCATGTTGCAGATTAACAATAACAAACTAGGTTTTATTGCAACTAAAAGTTTAGGGTATGTTGCACTATAGTCGTCGTCTCATCGAGTAATTTTATAATGCTATATAGTATTGGTGTTATAGGTTTTTATTTTTATGGTAGAACTTGAAGTTATACCTTTAATGTTATGGTACAACTTCAGATTGTACCTATACTCTTTGTACAAATTCTTTTATGGTACAACTTGAACTTGTACCTTTATGTTACGGTATAACTTTAAATTGTAAAGTTATACCATAACATAAGAGTACAAATTCCTTTATGGTACAACCTGAATTTATACATTGAACGTTATGGTACAACTTTAAGTTGTACATTAAAGCAACAATGCTTTATAGCATAGAAGAAGTGCTCATAGCCATCTAATCTGTTTTTGTTGCAACTAGAGGTGTCAATCGGGCGGGTTCGGGCTGGGTTCATTCGGGTTGCGGGTTGGTCGGGTTGCGGGTCGATCGGGTTGCGGGTTGATCGGGTTCGAGTTGATCGGGTTGCGGGTTACTCGGGTTACAGGTCAATCGGGTTACCGGTCAATCGGGTTACGGGTCAATCGGGCTGCGGGCCATTCGGGTTGCGGGCCAATCGGGTTACGGGTCAGTCGGGAGTGGGTCAATCGGGTTGCGGGTCGGGCGGTTCGGGTTGCGGGTTTTACGAACCAAAACATTGCGTTACGTTTTAGTGATGATTGGCGAGTCTCGACAGGTGGGGGGGAATCAAATTTTTGGGCAGTAGTATTGGGGGAACCCAAAATTTGGAGAGAAAAGTTTAAAAATAGTTTTTTAATTTTTTAAAAACAAGTGAAATTGTTCATATAAATATATAGAGAAATTGTTGATTTATCTAGTTAATTGTTTATATGATTTTTGTATTAAACTAAATTATAAAATTTAGAAAAATTGTTGTGAGTTTAATTGTAACTTTACTCGATAACATATAATCTAAACTCTAAATAGTCTATACCCTGAACCCCAAATGATTTTATTCATGAACATGTGTTAATAAATAACTTGATCCTTATTATTTATGATTTTGATTAATCTTGGCTGAACCATTAATAGTTTAATACCTTAACCCTAACCCATTACCCTATATGTCGACTCTATATCATATACACTAAACCCCTAATGGTTTGATTGATGAACATATGTCAATAAAAGAAACTTGATCCGTATTAGTTATGATTTTGACTAATCATGGCTAAACCATTAATACCTTATACCCTATAAGTCGACTTTATAATCTATACCCTAAACCCCTAATGGTTTGATTCATGAACATATATTAATAAGAAAACTTGATCTTATTAGTTATGATTTTGACTAATCATGGTCAAACCATCAATACCTTATACTCTAACCATATAAACTATAAGTCGACTCTATAACCTATACCCTAAACTCCTACTAGTTTGATTCATGAACATATGTTAATAAGAAAAATTGATCATATTAGTTATGATTTTGACTAACCGTGGGCAAATCATTAAGACTTTATACCCTATAAGATGACTCTATAACCTATACCCAAAACCCTAATGATCTGAATTCTAATTGATGAACATGTGTTAATAAGAAAAGTTGATCTTATTAGTTATGATTTTGAGTCACGGTAGTATTTCCTGTACTTAGAGTTATGCTACTAAGCACTAAACACGGTAAAATTTCCTGTAATTAATTTGATAAAATTCATCTGGTCAAAAATTCATTTGATTCAAATTTTGGCATCAACCAAAATTATTTGGCTCCAAAGTTTCCCACCGCCCAAAATTCATTTTCAGTTTTTCGCTCAAAGTTTCCCACCGCTCCAAAGTTTCCCATCGCCCAAAATTATTTGGCTCCAAAGTTTCCCACCGCTTCAGGACACAAAGGGAAAAGCAGACCGGGAAGAGGAGGAAAAGGGAAAGACAGAAGGCGGTCGGCTTTCAATAAATTCCATCTACTTTGCCGGAGGCTTTCATCCAGTCTTGTTCGTCTATTTTCCATACGACGCGGTCGGCTTTTGTGCATCGATTCGAACCCTAGAATCCATCACTTCCTTCTTGCTTGCTGCCATTCGCTTCTCTCTATCGATTCGCATCTCCATCTCGCGAGCTCAATAATTCAGGTATGGATTCCTTTCTTCTTCGTGGGATCACTCTTTAATGGCTAGTCATTCAATAGCAGCTGAATAGGAACCCTGCAATCTGAATATTATTAACATAATAGCCGAGAGGGTTATGTGATAGAAACACGCTTAAGCGGCGCTGCTAGGTTAGGACGAGGATGACCATTCCTTTGGGTGATGAGCTACATCTTCTTCCAGGCTGCTCGAGGCGATCTGCTAATCTTCCCGCCGGCAGTCTCATCGGTCGCTCCTTTAAGCTACGTCATCCATCATGTTGGCCGCTACTGAATGTTAGTCGCCAATCATCAACAGCAGCGGTTGAATCGCTGATTAGCTCTCTAAATCCTCTATCCTCTGCCTCTCAATTAGTGGAAACTCTGCTTGTAGTAGTGTGAGGTTTCGTTGGGAAGCTTTAATTTCCTCTTGATTAATGGCATCGAAATACATGGGTGGGATTCATTTTTTATGGTAAAAAAATATTAACTATTAACATAGATGTCTTGCAGAGGATCCTCCTAAGTTTTGGCATGCATCCACATGTCAAATAAGCATGACACCTCACCAAATTTGCCTACATACTCGTTAGATACTCTGCCACATACTAGAATGGAATGAAAGTGGTTGTTCTAGTAGCATTTAGGAATTTAATCTCATTATTAGTCTTCAGTTAACCTTGGTTTGCTATAAAATGCCCATTTTCATGCTCTCTAGATCCAAATGAGTTAAGTGTAGAGGGTTTTACGTACCTAGCAGCTCTTGAAGTTGTTGTGACAACTCGTAATTGGATACGAGGATATCAAACGGGTAAGAAAAAACAAATTGTTATATTTGTACTGAACAAACTGTTCTCTTTTCCTTATTATTTTCTTTTCACTGATTAATTGTACAGATGACGATGATGAAGATACGAGGGATGATGGAGAAGAAGTAAAGCTTCTAGAGTGATCGTCATTTGGAATGTCATGAAATGTTTTTTGGACATGTTTTATTGATATTTGAGGTCTTGAGACAATATGAACTATTATGAGTCATGTATTCTTGTTTATGATCAGACTTTTGTGAATTATTATTAGTCTTTTTTTATGATAGGACCATGATATTTGGATTTTAAATCTTATAATTATCTTATTATGCTAAACTAATATTTTATAATGTTATGTGGACTATTAGGTTGATGATGTATCTAAATCAATATTTGATGATGTTATATGCGCTAATAGGTTGATGATATATATTATTATACTAAGTTAATAATTAATGATGTAATGATCATACTTTAGTGAACTAGGATTTCAAATGTCAACTTATAGTTTATCTTCATCGAATTCCTTCTATTATAGTCGGGCTGCGGGTTGGTCGGGTTACGGGTTAGTCGGGTTGTGGGTTAATCGGGTTGCGGGTCGATCGGGTCGCGGGTTGGTCGGGTTGCGGGTTGATCGGGTTGCGGGTCGATCGGGTTGCGGGTTGATCGGGTTGCGGGTTGGGCGGGTTACGGGTCATTGACTTTTAGTCAAATCGGGTTGCGGGCGGGTTGCGGGTCGGGTTGATCGGGCGGGTTACTCGGGTCGGGTTACATTTTGACAGCTCTAGTTGCAACCACATCATATTAATTGAATTTCATAATATATGGAATTGCACAAATAGGGAGCTTCACGCCTTTCTCTCGCTTTGATACCAACAACGCTGTGGTCTTTCTCTCTCTAATTGATTGTTATTGCATTTTTATCTACCTCTTCTAATTAATGCCCCAAATCGAAGAAGAAAGTGCAAAGAATAAATTGCAGTTTTTTTTATCGAAAAGGGTGTGCTTCTACCTCATAACATTAATACGAAAAAGGAATGGTTACTTTTGTAAGTTGTAATGTCATACATAGCCCAATGTCGAACATCAGGGTCACCGAGGGCAATCGAATGGACCCAAAATGAAACAAAAAACCCCTATGGGCCAAACAGTCAGCAAAGAAATTAGCCTCCCTGTACAGATGGGATAGCTGAACTGACCAGCCCCGTCTAAGAAGGTTTCAGAACTGAAGTACGAGACTCGCGTGCTAATGTGGCGACTCTTCCGTCGTCTGCAGAATCGACAGTGTTGCCATCAAATCCATCTACATGACCACCCTCCAATGCCCAAGATTCCAGGGCAGTTGGAGAACCTCAATGGCCCCTCCCAGTTCTGCACGAGTGATCGAGTAGCTTCCCAGATTGATGGTGAACGCCCCTAGTAAGCGATTTTGCTAATCTCGATCCGTGCCTCTGGTTATTGCCTGCCGAGTAGATGGTATGAACGGACCATCGAAATTAATTGTGCCCTAACCGCGTGGGACAGGTCTCCACCCCACGTTCACGTTGTGACCTGACCCCACGGTCCCCAGTTTGTTCTGCCTTGTCGCAGTAATAGTGTCTGTTGAGATCTTACTCCAGGCAATGTCCCTTTGACTTATCTTACTGGGAGCCTCGACCACCCCTGAGAAGATGTCATCATTTTGGGCTCTACAGACAAACCAGTAGGCTGCTCCAAAACTGACACAACTCCTAACAATGGCCAAGTGTAACCAATGAAAGGGACTGCAGTACAGTGACTTAAGTAATAAATATCG